GATGGGAGAAAAGAGAAGAGTAATGATGGGGGGAACTAAATATACAACCAGAAGACTCTTTCAGTTAAGAAAGTTATAACCACTCTTTATGAAGAAAGTAAGAGAATCTTACAACAGGATCGCCACTGGCTTCTATCCTGAGCCATATCTGATAACGTCTCTATCCACTGTGTTGCACCATCTCTCGGACCCCAGCCAGGGAGTTGTGAAGGACCAACAGAAGCTAGCTCTTTGCAGCTTTCTTTCATACCACGACACCATGTCATACACTGACCACCTCTACTGCTAATAGCTCATATTCTATTGAATTCATTGTTAATGATGTGATTTACAAGGAGAATGAAAGCTTAATGATTAAGCCATTTGAATAATAAATAACAATGGTACCAAAATCTCAAATTAGCTGTGGTAAATAACTGGTAAACTGGTAAATATGAAAAAAATATATACCGTTTGTTTAGATTATAGTGTATATATAGTGGGAAAAAAACAATGAGACGAAACGACCGTCCAGTGCTTCGAGGTTTTCCCTGGTGGTCTAGCTTCAATTGACTCACGCTTTCAACTATCAAAAAATACTAAATCTCCACAAAAACCCCTTCTGAAAAAAAACAGACAAAAAGTACCGTTTTTATTATTGTAAACAATCCATCCATATAGAAGTACACTTTGTATCATCTGTAATTGTTATACTTCCCATTTCAGCGTAAATCTCAAAATCCATTATTTTCATTTGGACGAAAAAAATCTAAAGTTGGTTAATTCAGTTACTGACTTTCCATTCAATGAACAGGAGAAAAGAAGAAGCCATTATTTGTATCGTGGATCATTTGTGTCATTATCTTAGTGAATTGAATTACTTGACATCACTGTGTAATTATTATTGTGATTACTTCTAACAGTGTGTATGAATGTAAATAATTATCAATGTATAATGACATATTTTTTTGTTTAAATGGAGTGGATTTTATGGAGACTGTTTTAATTCACAGTATACGTCACTGATTGATCTTACTTGATGGTACCACTAACAAAACTGAATAGTTCTGAATAGCTATCTTGTAATAATATAATATTTTTCAATTGAAATAATTCAGTGATGAATACCAACAACATCTCTGCTTCTTCTGACCACTATAAGCAACTATGCAGGCATGTTCGGAATGCGATTCTCCCCCTCGAAGTGCAAAATGTTATTTGAGGATTGGGTTGCATCGGCACCTGAACTAATGATAGGGAGTGAAGTAGTTGAGCGTGTAGACCACTTCACTTATCTTGGGAGTCTCATCAGCCCTTGTGGTCCGGTGTGTGACGAAATTTCAGCACGGATACAGAAGGCTCTTCTAGCTTTCGCCAACTTGCGTCATTTATGGCGTAGGCGAGATATCCGTCTAGCAACCAAAGGACGGGTTTACTGTGCAGCATTTCGTTCCGTTCTACTTTGTGGCAGTGAAACATGGCCGGTAAGAGTAGAGGATATTCGTAGGCCACTAGTATTCAATCATAGGTATCTTCGGAAACGGGTACTAGGTAAATATGGCAAATCGATTGATGGAGTAGTGAAGCTTCATCGGTTGAGATGGCTGGGAAAAGTGTTACGTATGCCCAACCACCGACTGCCATGACGTGCAATGTTTCATGGTGTAGGAGTAGGTTGGAAGTTAGCCAGACCAAAACGTGGCACGAATCCCTAAAGTCACTGACAAGTGGACTGAGGCATGTTGGTAGGTGTAGACTACCTGGTTGGGATTCGCGAGATGATAGCAACCGATGGTTAGGGACCTTGAATGACATGTCTCAAAATCGTTTGGAATGGCGAAGGTGCATCTACTCTTTGTGTTCTCCCGAATTCTAATCTTCTGAATTCTTCATGTCCCTATCCTTTTTCTCTTTCCAAATTTATTTCACTGGATTATACTCCTTCAATAACATCTTCAAACCCTTATCTTTCACATGATGCTTATACTCTTACTACTTCTATTACTATTGGTTTTGAATCGACAACTGCGTCTCTGTTCTAATGTGGTATGGCAACTCGAACTGATGTACGTACGTGTGAAGTTCTACGTTGTGACTGACTGACACAAATTCGACAGGAAAAATGTTGAAATTCTAATTAGAGTAGACAAAAAAAGGCTAAGGAAAACTTGCAAGAAACTTGGCACAGTAATCAATAGGTACATTGAAATAAACTCAATCTATCAACCAATGATGACTAACTGCTAGGTTGGAGATTAGGTCAAAGAAAAAGGGCAATTGAAATAACCATGAGATAACGACAGGAAGAGTTGTGGAGAAGTGGTAATTTTATTTATTTATTTAAACACATACATGTTGGTACAAAGGGGCACCATATACATCTGCCCTACACAAAACAATGAGAATGGGAAGAGAAAGGGGTAAGATGCGTATATATAGAAGAAAAAAAATAGGATGGGAGAAAAGAGAAGAGTAATGATGGGGGGAACTAAATATACAACCAGAAGACTCTTTCAGTTAAGAAAGTTATAACCACTCTTTATGAAGAAAGTAAGAGAATCTTACAACAGGATCGCCACTGGCTTCTATCCTGAGCCATATCTGATAACGTCTCTATCCACTGTGTTGCACCATCTCTCGGACCCCAGCCAGGGAGTTGTGAAGGACCAACAGAAGCTAGCTCTTTGCAGCTTTCTTTCATACCACGACACCATGTCATACACTGACCACCTCTACTGCTAATAGCTCATATTCTATTGAATTCATTGTTAATGATGTGATTTACAAGGAGAATGAAAGCTTAATGATTAAGCCATTTGAATAATAAATAACAATGGTACCAAAATCTCAAATTAGCTGTGGTAAATAACTGGTAAACTGGTAAATATGAAAAAAATATATACCGTTTGTTTAGATTATAGTGTATATATAGTGGGAAAAAAACAATGAGACGAAACGACCGTCCAGTGCTTCGAGGTTTTCCCTGGTGGTCTAGCTTCAATTGACTCACGCTTTCAACTATCAAAAAATACTAAATCTCCACAAAAACCCCTTCTGAAAAAAAACAGACAAAAAGTACCGTTTTTATTATTGTAAACAATCCATCCATATAGAAGTACACTTTGTATCATCTGTAATTGTTATACTTCCCATTTCAGCGTAAATCTCAAAATCCATTATTTTCATTTGGACGAAAAAAATCTAAAGTTGGTTAATTCAGTTACTGACTTTCCATTCAATGAACAGGAGAAAAGAAGAAGCCATTATTTGTATCGTGGATCATTTGTGTCATTATCTTAGTGAATTGAATTACTTGACATCACTGTGTAATTATTATTGTGATTACTTCTAACAGTGTGTATGAATGTAAATAATTATCAATGTATAATGACATATTTTTTTGTTTAAATGGAGTGGATTTTATGGAGGCTGTTTTAATTCACAGTATACGTCACTGATTGATCTTACTTGATGGTACCACTAACAAAACTGAATAGTTCTGAATAGCTATCTTGTAATAATATAATATTTTTCAATTGAAATAATTCAGTGATGAATACCAACAACATCTCTGCTTCTTCTGACCACTATAAGCAACTATGCAGGCATGTTCGGAATGCGATTCTCCCCCTCGAAGTGCAAAATGTTATTTGAGGATTGGGTTGCATCGGCACCTGAACTAATGATAGGGAGTGAAGTAGTTGAGCGTGTAGACCACTTCACTTATCTTGGGAGTCTCATCAGCCCTTGTGGTCCGGTGTGTGACGAAATTTCAGCACGGATACAGAAGGCTCTTCTAGCTTTCGCCAACTTGCGTCATTTATGGCGTAGGCGAGATATCCGTCTAGCAACCAAAGGACGGGTTTACTGTGCAGCATTTCGTTCCGTTCTACTTTGTGGCAGTGAAACATGGCCGGTAAGAGTAGAGGATATTCGTAGGCCACTAGTATTCAATCATAGGTATCTTCGGAAACGGGTACTAGGTAAATATGGCAAATCGATTGATGGAGTAGTGAAGCTTCATCGGTTGAGATGGCTGGGAAAAGTGTTACGTATGCCCAACCACCGACTGCCATGACGTGCAATGTTTCATGGTGTAGGAATAGGTTGGAAGAAAGCTAGGGGTGGCCAGACCAAAACGTGGCACAAATCAATGAAGTCAATGACAAGTGGACTGAGCCATGCTGCTAGGTGTAGACTACCTGGTTGGGATTCGCGAGATGATAGTGATCGATGGTTAGCAACCTTGAATGACATGTCTCAAAATCGTTTGCAATGGCGAAGGTGCATCTACTCTTTGTGTTCTCCCGAATTCTAATCTTCTGAATTCTTCATGTCCCTATCCTTTTTCTCTTTCCAAATTTATTTCACTGGATTATACTCCTTCAATAACATCTTCAAACCCTTATCTTTCACATGATGCTTATACTCTTACTACTTCTACTACTATGGTGTTTGAATCGACAACTGCGTCTCTGTTCTAATGTGGTATGGCAACTCGAACTGTTGTACGTACGTACGAAGTTCTACGTTGTGACTAACTGATTTTGCTTATAATGCTTGTCACTTCAGGCAATATCGAAGCGATCCGCACAGGACGCACATATACCAATTTGAGATTGATCAATTACAGTCCTAAACGTCCATGGGAATATTTAAACAACTAATACAAAAATGAATTAAAACTTCACCTCATTACGCAAGCTAGTGGCTAGGTGGATAAGACGATAGCGTTTGAAGCTAACGGTACTGGGTTCGGAGTAAACATCAATTCAGTGATGCAGGTACATCCAGATGACGAGTCTCAGATAGGATGAAACGGGTGTCCTGGATTCTACTGCTAGCCACTATCCATCTTTGTTTATAAAGTATGAAGAGTTTAAAATACACATTCACTTGTAAGATTCCTAAATATGTTAGTTCAAATATCTGAGAACTGTTAGTAGTATAATTGATTTTAATGACTATCCCTCACTATCATAAATTCCACTGTTAATGTGTAAGAACGTAATAAATTTATTCAGGAAATAATTTATTTTTCAATATTCATCTACAAGAACGTACATGCTGTGAAAGTGTACAACACAATTATGTAGCACATAAGAACTAGTCAACATACAAAGAGTACTATCATTTGTGTGCTGAACTATGGTTATCGAATGTTGATGATTACTTAAAATCAATATAAGATGAAGTCAAGTTTCATGCATTCGACAATGAATATGATACATATACACATATATTTCGATCCAAAAAGGCATTTATCAATAACACTATTATAAAACATTGGCAATAAGAGTTCGCGAATTATGTGGTATATTTGACTTGCGTTCTATGAATTCCGTAGATTGAGAGTATACCTTCATGAGATCCAGTAGTTACCTATGGGCAAAAAAGAAAAGACCGCAATTTATGCTAAATTATGATAACATATTTGTTTTTTGAAGCCTGTTTTTCCTCTTCATAGTGCTCCAACTAAAGATACCTTCAAACAAGTGAGGAACCTAAGAACTTACTTACTTACGCCTGTTACTCCCAATGGAGCATAGGCCGCCAACCAGAATTCTCCAACACACTCTGTCCAGGGCCTTCTTTTCTAGTTCTATTCAGTTCTTGTTCATTCTTCTCATGTCTGTCTCTATTTCTCGGTGTAATGTGTTCTTTGATCTTTTTCTTCTCCTTTGGCCTTCAGGATTCCATGTGGGGGCTTTTCTTGTGACGCAATTGGGTGATTTCCTCAAAGTGTGCCCTATCCACTTCCAGCGCCTCTTCCTGATTTCTTCCGTTGGGATCTGGTTTGTTCTCTCCCACAGTAGTTTGTTGCTGATAGTGTCTGGTTAGTGGATCCGAATTTTCTTGCGTAGACAACTGTTAATAAATACTTGTATCTTCTGGATGATGGCTTTCGTAGTTCTCTAAGTCTCCTCCCCATACAGTAGAACTGCCTTGACATTTGCATTGAAAATTCTGATCTTGGTGTTGGTTGACAATTGTTTTGAGTTGCAGATGTTCTTCAGTTGTAAATACGCTGCTCTTGCTTTGCCGACCCTCGCCCTCACATCTGCATCTGATCCACCGTGTTCATCAATGATGCTGCCCAAAGCTTATCCGTCAAGTGTAATTTGATTGGTGCATGTTGTATATATATATACTTAGGAACTTAGTAGTAGTAATTAGTATTTCAATGTAATTGTATGAGGAGAAGGGTTTGTAAGTATGTGGTTTTCTGTATCGAGTTAATCTCACTGTTCTATAAACCATATCATAAGAGTAAATCAAATCAGAATTCAAAACATGCTTTTTCTTAATAGACAACTTAAGTTTTCATAGTATTGTAAGCTCAGATGATTCTTTTTCCTTTAACTCATGATGTAAAATAGTCTTCATAGAAGTGTTTCGTAATAATTTTCAAAATATACAGTAAGTAGTTGTTATCATCAAACAAATGTACTAATAAGTATTTATTGTTGGAAAATGAAGCGATGGAGGGGTGGGTGCTTCTAGTGGTGTTATGTTCACTGGACTACATGATTCAACAGTATAGGGTTGTGGAGATTGTTAAGTTTTGATTGAGATCATGAATCGATCAATGCTAGACCACCATTGAAAACTTGGAAGCACTACATGGTTTAATTGTTAAGTTGTCATTCTCAGTATCTTCAGAGTTTATTTCATAGAGAATTGAGCTCTCCAGTTATTCCATTAGTATTACATCAGTTTCTTATGGTGGGCTTGTTTGTAGTCACCTGTCTTCGTATATTTTGTTGTCACCATCCATATCGGCATACATGTTGACTGTCATTGTGGGTTGACTTCTGACCTCATGACTGATTGATCCTATCAGGGAATTCCTCAAAGCATGGCGTTCAGCTAAATTATCAAGCACGTTGACATAGAGCGAGGCTGTAAGCTTATACTGAGTAGCTCAGTCAATTACAACGAAGAGGATAACTCAAATATGAGTGAAAATTCGTTAAGATGGTTTCGAGTTACATTCTAAATATGAGAGATAATATTACTAATAGGTTGTTTAGATCGAATTAGGTGAAGCGGGTTTTGAACCTGCAAATAAAAGCCACTAGTGTGGACGTTAACTGACAAAGATAATCAACATAAATGCCAAAATGGATGGTGACAACAAAATACACGAAGACGCGACTACAAACAAGTCCATTAGAACAAACTGGTCTAATACTAATGGAATAACTGGAAAGTTCACTTCTACATGAAGTAGACTTTGAAGATATCGAAAATGACAATGAAAGCCTAACAATTAAGCTATGTATAGCTCCGGAAACAAAACACAAACAAAAATATCGAAGTGTTAAGATTTAGACAATTCAGTGTTTAATCTGTGTTTTTAAATAAAAATACACAAAGATTTCAGTATGATTTTTAATGATAAACTCTTACCTCAGGCTTTGACGGATGCCAATCCACTACAGTAGATGGACTATTATTCGTTCGTATTTCATGGTTTAATATGGCTAGGGGATGTGAACAAGCTTTTCTTACATCATATATAACAGGTGATGACTGATTAACATCCATTGTACCTCCTACTAATAATTTTGTTCCACATGGACTAAATACTGCTGTCACAGGTGGAATAAGAGCATTTCTACTTGATCCACTTGAGTATATTTCAGATGAAAATCTAGCCAATTTTAATACAGGATATCGACTTTCTCTAAGGTCCCATATTTGTATACAATCTTTTGGTGCTACTGTTGCATATACTGTATATCCTGTACCAAGTGTTGTAGTATTTTGTATTGAGTCATTGAAGCTTGAATATAACGATCCCTAAATATGAGATTTATACAGATTTAGTTTATGAGAAATAAAAAAAATTAACCAAAAAATAAGCAAAGAATAATAGTGTCGGCAGTGATAGAAATAGAGAGTCAATTATTCACATAAAAATAGGATATGGTGGGTCTCAGACACACCGAATTTTGACCAGTTATCTGATTTGGCTCGGGGTTGAAACACTGAGGTTTCCAGTATTTCGTTAGAAGTGTGATTCATAAGTGTCAGAAATAGTAGTTCGTAAACCCCATTTATGAGTAGTGATTGTATATGTGGAAGAGAATGAAGTTGGTGAGAAAGTGTTGTTGACAAGAGTATAAGAAAGTGTTAAGATGAACTTAAGTTTTACTTGAAGTGTATGGTTGGTTAATACCTTCCGGTTGACAACACAGTGGAAGTATATTTTTGGAGAACTTCAATCAGAAACTGAATTGATAACGTCCTGGTCCTGGGTTCGAATCTCGTGAGAGCGGGTTCGTGGATGTGCACTGCTGAGGAGTCCCATAATAGAACGAAACGGCCGTCCAGTGCCCCCAAATGCCCTGGTACGGCAGAGAGTGGGGAGAGTCACCTCTCCCTCTCGAAATACTCTCATATGGCCAGCGAATATATAGCCTCTGACAGAGAAGTCCTACTTACAACCTTCTCGTGGCATTAATGTTGTTTACGAAAGTGAGAGGACGAAAAGCGAATGTTCGGCGCTTTAACCGGGTTGGTGGACATGGAGGGTCCACTTAGGGGAGTTGGAAAACCCTGATTCCAAACCAGTGGTGCACATGGGCTCCAGTATCCTGAAGGAACAAATGACGTACGAATCAACCGTTGATCACCGGCTACCATGGGCTGCATCTCCTCACGATGCTCCACTGCCTTGTGAGTCAGACATTCAGGTCAAAGGCTCCGGGTGTGGCCCTCTTAGAAAACCACCTGCTTCAGTCTGGGCACCTGGGCAGTATCACAGCCCTCACACAAATCGAATGAGATTTGTGAGGCGCATATTTATCTGGTGCTTCCTTGTACCAATATTTATGTGTTTAAATAAATAAATAAAAATAAGCTGCACAATTTCATGAATAGCTCTTTGAAGCTAACCATGCACCACCTTTATGCAAGTATTGTTTACTTTTTTAGTTCCGTAATTTTCAAAGTATCTTGCCGTCTTTGTAAAACTATAGGACTATGAGTAAGTGGTATTTTTAAAGTTGACCTTACCTAAACACTTCCATTTATAGGAAAACAAGATCGATGAATATGTCCTTATCCATGGAAAAAATCTGAATCCACTACAGCCCAGCAAAACAAGAAGCTCGACGTCCCTCTCAAAATTGAAGCACTTTGATTTTGGTTTCATCATTAAACTGTGAACTCTCGTGATATGATTAATATATCAAAAGGTAAAGTGTTCTAACCAAAAGAATTTGATTGGTTCATCATGTTAGGCAAACCTGACCACCCTCGTAAAGGTAGCAAACACAACCCGATAGTAGATAGGTATACCGAACCTTAGTTTCGGTAATATGATAAATTCCATGCTTTCTGATCTGATCATTTTCCACAAAGAAAAAGTTTGATACAGAATATTTAGTAAAAGTCTAAGCCGAATATTGTTTATCGAATAAATATAATGTTTACCTGATTTAATGCAATTCCTGTAATACACTTATTATGAGCAGATTGAATTTCCTGAATAACCTGTCCACAGTTTAAATCTAAAATGGATAAACGTCGATCTGATCCGGCACACACTAACAAGTCTGTGATATTAAAAAAATAAAAAAGTTTTATATGTGATTTTTGTAAGTAATTATGTAAATTATTTTACGGGGATTTAATAAAGTTTTAAGATTAGTTTTAGAAAAAAGCATCATTAAAAAATAGGAGTAGGGCTTTCATCACCCCATAAGTCTTTTTAACAATGGTCACCAACGACCACACATCAAATCGAATCAGCGATCTTCAAGCTTAGTGATAAGCACAACTTGATATGCCCTGATCCCCATATATAGCGTTATTGATAAGTCACTATCCCATAAAACATAGCATCAGTGCTTAAAGTCATTAACTTCTAGTCTAGATACAGACTACCTGGTCGGGGTCCGCGTGACTATCGTAACCAATGGTTAGAGACTCTAGGTGACATGGCTACATTGCAGGAAACTGCTATGTAACATCTGATTTACGGAGATAATGGTAATACGATCAACCTTTTTAAGACTGTTATTAATTAGTAGTCCGGTGACTATAAAGGTATGTGAATAAGGTACGTTATTTACTTATTTACGAGTGCTAAATTCTTTGGTCTGAATGATTTAATTTTACCATAACTCTCTAGTTGAGCTAAACTTGTGATGAAACAATCCTTGAATTCTCCTCTCAGTTGTGACCTTTTTTACTCAATCATATATTAAGTTAGTGCCCCTGAATGCCCTGGTACGGCTGAGAGTGGAGAGAGTCCGCTTTACCTCTCCAAATGCTCTCATATGGCCACAAGTATATAGCCACTGCAAGGGAAGTCCTACTCACTGCCTTCTCGTGACACCGGTGTTGTTTACGAAATTGAGAGGACGAAAAGCGAATGTCCGGCGCTTTAACCGGGTTGGTGGACACGGAGGGTCCACCTAGGGGAGTTGGAAAACCCTCATTCCAGACCAATGGTGCACATGGGCTCCAGTATCCTGAGGCTAAACAAAGAGATCTATGCATTTTGTTTAATTTACTGTCTAACGGACAACTGGTAAAGTTTTATATCATTAGAAATTGGTACTACTGTAATCCAACTTTTATTTCGATAAACAACTTTCTAACTAGAATGCTTACATGAATAGAAAAGGTTTACAGATGCCACAGAAGTTAATTGATTACAAGTGGATATTGGAAATTCACCAACTAATTTATAACTGTTATTGGCAAAACTTCTATAAATAAACATAAGAATAAACAAACAGTTAAATGAAACCAATATGATAATCAGATATTATTTTTTTAAAAATGGTGTCGAAAACCAGTGCCTAATTTGATAGCTTACTTACATACTTACGCCTGTTACTCCTCGTGGAGAAGAATAACCAGCCAAACAGCATTCTCCATTTAACTCTGTCCTCGATACTCCTTTCCAGTTGCTTTTCATTATTTTCATGTCTGCTTCTAATTTCCGACGCAATGTGTTCTTTGGTCTTCATCTTCTCCGTTTCCCTGCAACAATTTGAAGTTAGCACTTGTTTCGTGATGTAGTTTGGTGATTTCCGTAATATAAACCCTATCCATCTCCATCATCCTTTCCTAATTTCCTCTTCAGATAGAAGTTGGTTTGTTCTCTTCCACAATAGGCTTTTTTTGATGGTATCCCATCAACGGACATTAAGTATCATGTGTAAATAATTGTTTATAAATATTTATCTTATAAATTTCATATGATTTTGACGCTCTTTTTAGTACACCATAATGTCGAAGGAGGTTCCTTAATGTTCTCCTATCCACACTGTCAAACGCTCTCTCATAATCAAAGGAGTTGATGTATAGTGATGAGTTTCACTCAAGTGATCATTCAACGACGATCCGTAGTGTTGCGATTCTGTCTGTGTACGACCTATCCTAATGAAATATAGTCTGTTGATCTCGAAGTTGAACGTCTACTAAATCTTTCATTCGGTTCAGCAACACTATTTTGAAAACTTTTCCTGGTACTGATAATAATGTTATGCCTCTATACTTCTCACACTTGACCAGATCTCTTTTTTTCTGTCGGTGGCATTTATTCGTATTATCAAATCTTCCTGAATAAAACGTGGAGCATGTTTGCAGTTACTTCATTGTCTGATTTTAATGCTTCAGAAGTTATATTGTCCGGTGCTACTGCTTTCCCACTCTTTGTTTGTTTGATGACCATCCTGATTTTCTCGACAGTTGGTTGAGTGACATCTATAGTGAGGTCTGTGTTTTTTTTATATAGTTAAGATAATGAGTCAATTGAAGCTAGATTACCGTGGAAAACGTGGAAACACTGGACGGCCGTTTCGTCCTATCATGGGACTCCTCAGCAGTGCGCATCCACGACCTCACACTCGCGAGATTCGAACCCAGGATCTACCAGTCTCGAGCCAGAGCCCTTAACCGACAGACCACTGAGCTGACATCCAACGGTGTTAATGTCTAACCTCAATCAATCCACGAAATTGCGCGACCAACTTCCAATGTACTGAGGTAGATACCTGTCTCTACCTGACATGGATTAGCTCCACTGGCCACGACTTCTCACTGTGTGTGTTGCATCAATATCCGGTGGATTCAATGGAGCTGATCTATTTAAGAGTTCCTCGAATTGTTCCACCCATCCGTTTCATTGTACTAGAATCTCAATGATTATCTTGCATTTTTTGTCTTTGACTGGTCTCTCTGGTTTATTATATTTCCCTATCAGTTTCTATATTTTGTTATATAGTTACTTCATATTTTTTTCCTTTTTCAGCTTTTTCCACTGTTGTTGCTAGGTCCTCCGTGTATTTCTGCTTGCCGACTACAATGCTCCTCTCCACTTGCATGTTTGCTTCTGTGTATTCATAATATATATATATTCGTCACTAAAACTGAAATTTTACTACTCTTCACTTGGTCTGCCTGCTACTGTGAGATCTTGAGAAACAAGTATCCCAGAGAGTACAGCTCACTAAGATCATCACTATAGTTAAACAAGATTGTCACATCATAGTAATACCTAGTCGAGGAAGTGACAAGTAAAAACAGAAGATTCTTGGTTGTTTTATCAGCTTTATTTCCACCTCCGGTTGACCTTAACCTTTTCTAGTTTTTATTATTATGGTAGTATTATATCAATTAATCGGCAGTGTGACCAGTAGACTAAGTGGCTAGAGAAATCACCCCGCCTTTTGTTTGATATTAGATAACCGATAAACATTGATACGAAGCACTTAAACCTTAAGTTTCATGCTAGTTGGTACTTGCCAGTAATGTAAGTCTTCAATTGCAGCTCAGTCTCTGATACTGAGTAAGATGAATTTGAATACAACCGGGGGAATCAATTACTTAAAGACTGCCAACCAACATGGAACTCGGGTCAAGCAAGGGGTCCTAGTGATTGTCTCTTTAACCACCTAATATCAATGATAATCTATAAACTATTATCATTATTTCAGAGTTTACATCACGGAAAAATCTCAGACAACCATTGAAAACCAGAAAGCATTGGACAACTGTTTCTTACTAGCATGGGGCTCCTCAACAGTACATATCCAAGACCCCACTAAGGACTGAACCTATAACCTTCAAATCTCGGGTAAGCGGTGGCATTTAGTAATTCCGATATCTAAATCTAACCAACTTGAAACATTCTGTAACCATTTTCTAACGCCATTGATAGGTAACTACCTCACATCCCACATGATTGTCCAGAGTTTGCTTATTTTCAATAGTTATCTAACCAATACCAATACGTTATATAAACTATGAGATTCAAAAACCTCCATGACTGCTCTACAGTAGTATCATTGTTATTAACGTGTAAAACTACTAGTTAACACAATAAAATAAGCTCAGTGGTCTATCGGTTAAGAGCTCTGGCTCCTGGGTTCGAATCTCACGAGTGCGGGATCGTGAATGCGCAGTGCTGAGGAGTCCCATAATAGGATGAAACGGTAGTCCAGTGCTTCCAGGTTTTCCATGGTGGCCTAGTTTTAACTGACTCATGATTTCAATTATATATAAAAATTACTGAAAATCTCCACAAAACCCCTTCAGATCCCTAATGAATAAATATAGTTGGATTATTTTTTAGGATTGATATTATATTATGAGAAGTGAACTTACTTTTTAAGAATATTCTCATTATTCGATAATGTATATGTATATAAACGAATAATATTTTTACTAACCAAATATACAAATGAATCCATGTAATAAAAGTTTCCAATAGATATATTATCTTCAAATGGTACATGACGATAAGTAGTTTTCTTCTAGAATAGGTAGAAAGAAAGTGAGGTTAATCCTACTTTTTATTAATTAAAACAAAAGTAAATAGAATAGTAAGCAAAAATGGATAGTAAGATGGTGGTTGGAGGTGGCCAACAGGAAACCCTGGACCTGGGTTTCGTGCTACTTGGCACTCGTCAGCATGGTGTACCTGTAATCTTGAGGGAACTGGTGCTCCCTGACGGATTCGATTCCGTGTCACTCAGCTTCAGTCAGAGACGTTACTACTGAGCTATTTGGGTAGCGACCGACCACCTGTAGGACTGAGATGTAATCACAATTGATTGATCACTGGGTGGTGATCTATGTCATGTGTGTCAAGTACTTCTTAGTGCTGATCGAATGCTACCGATCAAGTTGCAATGTGGCCACTAGCTCGGTTGTAACGTCTCTGACTGTGAAGCTGAGTGACACGGGATCGAATCCGTCAGGGAGCATCAATTCCCTCAAGATTACAGGTACACCATGCTGACGAGTGCCAAGTAGCACGAAACCCAGGTCCAGGGTTTCCTGTTGGCCACCTCCAACCACCATCTTATCTCAATATATAGTGCATGCAGTGTCGAGCCACCTAGACTAGTGGCCACATTGCAACTTGATCGATAGCATTCGATCAGCACTAAGAAGTACTTGACACACATGGCATTGATCACCACCCAGTGATCAATCAATTGTGAAAGATGGATAGTGGCTAGCAGTGGAATCCAGAACGCGCGTTTCGTCATATTTGGGACTCGTCAGCTGGATGTATCTGCATCTCAGATTTGTTGATGTTCACTCTAACACTCTAACCCAGTACTTTTCGTTTCAAACGCCATCGCGTTATCCACTCGGCCACTGAGTCCTGATAGCCACTTGCTTGTGCAATGATGTGAAGTAAATAGAATTTATATGATATTTGACCAGACTGAACGAATTGTTTGTGAATTTTTATCATCTTTGGTAGTTAAGACATATGTCAAGCATGTCTTACTACCATCTATCTGAATACTGTCCATTGGATTGCACAAGAGTGAGGTGTGTGTGCGAAAAGAATGATTAAACTAAGTTGTAGTATAAATCTATGTAATCATTTACCGTTTAAGTAAGGTAATTCAAAAGTGGCGAGCTTTTTAGTGTAGACCAGAAATATAACCAACTTGGAGGGATTAAAATGTTTCCAGGCAGTTTTTAAATGCTCAGTCATTCATTATTTACGTGTATTTCAGATGTGAAATAAACAAAGCATCAAAACTATTGTCACTAATCATGGTATCTCAAATGATGAGGTGATTTACTCCCAATGATGTAGATTAGATAAATGTTTATAACAATTGAGTTATCTTTCGATCTTAAATCTACACACACTATTTAATCATCCCACTTTGGGATATTGTTCATATTTTGTCTGATTGAGAAAGGCAATTTTTCTTTTTTAATTTCCCGGCTTAGATTTTGAAGTATAACAGGAGTTTGTTTAGATCTTGTAAAAGTTAACTATTGTAATTGATGTATGGCTGGTAAAAGTAAGATGTGATTGGTTACTGAGAGCGAATCGACTATTTGATCTGTGATTCTCTTTTCTATTATTGTTTTCTACTCTGGACTTATCGAGCATAAACTGCTTGTAATTGTGTTGAATAAAGTATTGACTAGACTATTTTCCGGTTCACGATATTTGCTTGTGAAACGTGATCCAGCGTATGTATAGAGAGTATCGACTGATTATTCAATCTGATGGTAGTGTAATCTCGATCACTGGTCGTAAAATCGTACAATAGTAGTGTAACGTTAAAGAAAAAAATATTTTTATTTGTTTATTATAATAGTATTGTTTTCAAGTTATTCACATGTTGGAGAAACCATAAAGAAATTAAGAAACACTAGGTTATGCTTTACTTCACAGATTGACTCTAGTCAGAAAAGCATAAAAATCAAGAAATATTGGACGGGTGTTTCATCTCAGCTTGGTAGAGAGAGGCAGTTCCTAGAATTATAGTGATGAGCTATAATCAGTAGGAATCAGTTATATTTAGCAACAGATATTACTGATAAAAATGGATGATAGCCGCCTAACGTCAATAATAGATTGAAGTTAGAAATGTGAACAATGAGATGACGGCTCAGCGATCTAAAGTCTAAGCGCTTGCTCGAAACTGTAGGTTCTGGGACTAACCGCATACGGAATGGTAGATGAGTACTGTATTGATTCCTATACCACGGGGAATCAGTTGTTTAGTGATTCTTAGTTTTCAGTCTGTAACATCAAACTTTTTGTTAGAAAAAATAAAAATGAACAGACCTTCAGGTTAACTTTTTCTCCGTAATCATTTGTAGCTCCTTTATGTATTGAATCGAATATAAGTTGAGTTACTGATCCAATTTTAGTAGTCACATTTTTATTCGATCCTTTTACACCTATTCTCCAAATACGTGCAGTTCGATCCGATGAACAAGTTAACAACAAACAACTATCCATCGACCAAGAAGCCCAGAGAACAGGACCTAAATGACCACGTAATGCTTCGGCTGAAGAAAATAACTTCTTTCGTTTTTCTTCCAAAGTGTTTTGATCACGTTGAGTAATCAGACAAATTCCATTACCCAAACATGATGCCAAGCTATTGCCATTAGCTTTAAAATTAAGCAAATGAGAGGAGAAAGATTGAAATGTTCCATCGTTTTGAATTGTAAATTGATAAAATTTGAAGAGTAAAAATTTAATTTTTAATGGTTTGAGTTATCTCAATGTTGATATTTTGACTAGAATTTGATCAGTTTTGTTTGGCATACATACATCCTGTTTGGATTGTTTCGATAAAGTCATTGACATAATTTTGTAAAGAATAGAAGGAATGAAGTTAGCAGTGGATTCCAAGACGGGGTTCTTATTAGTGACATTGTCAGCTGCATGTGCCTGCAACCTAGAATTGATGTTCTTTCCGTTCAATACAAACGTCCTGGAGGCAAATCCAAACCTGGATTCCACTGCTAGCTACATTCCATTTATTCTATATAGTTAAAGAGTATGTTGAGGAAAAAATCACCTGGAGCGCTTCTCGGGTTACTACCGGTCTCAAGACCGCGTAAAGGTTTGGGGATGGGTTTAGCAACTTTATCCTGTGGAAGGAAACCTCGCTAGGAAAACGCTAACGTTAGCGAAAGAATGGTCACACCACACTTGTTTATGATGACAAAAGTGATTCCGCACGAAAATCCTAGTTACATTAATCAACAACCAACTACTTCTTCTAGATGGTAGTAATTAATCAAAGCGAAATATGTTGACTAGTCATAGATAACCTAGGATCTGCCACGAATGTTTATCTAATAAGGTTGCTACACACATCTGTATAACGAACGAGAAAACTAATAAGGTAAGAAATAGAGTGGTAAATAATGTCAGTTAGTCATATACATTGTATATGCACATATATTATAGTTGTAACACAATATCAGCCCAGCGACATGAACTTATCAAGATAAATGCCAGGGTAGAAGAGAAAGCAACAGTATCAGAGGTAGTAGGAAAGGTTAGAAGTAGACCATATAATTCGAGAATAATGAGTTTAGGGCATAAAAAAGCATAAATATTTTAAGACAAAGAATGAATGTATCATTGATATCAAGATCTATTCTGATCTGTGTAACACATTGTGTCTAGCCACTGATCACAGTTATCGCGACAACCTTACCGAGGTAGTCTGGACCTACCAAAATGATTCAGTCTAACAATCAGTGACTTCCTGAACTGGCAACAGGTCTTGGTTTGGCTGCCACACCCTTTCTTTGAACCTGCTACTACTAAACCAGCAAACTCCATTGAAAAATTAAACAAGAGATATACAGTTGACAGAGAGAAAAATTAGATTAGAAAATGAGAAGTATAGAATAGCACTATAAATCAGAATTTCCAGAGAAGATAGAAAGTGAATAAGACTGTGTCACTGAAGTTGATTTTGTGCTATATCATTCGACGTTTTCAATCATAGATCAAGTTTATTGCTATGGTTTTAAGCAGTACGTGGGGCTCATAAATACAGAAACGACAACAATTAAAGTTGAATATCCGCTCAGAGTATGAGACAAAGACAGTAACTCTCGATAATAGTAATACTATGTAATATGAACATTAGTTACCAAGCATATGATAAATACATTGATAACTAAAGATTTGCCTAGATCTCTTAGCTATCAGACCACTAAATCATGTTGCTTAGTTAATGATGCAATAATAACAGTGATGATGATAATAATAGTCCTGTTTTGTCGATTCTCTCAATATTTGCCACAACTGTTATAATGAATATGGAGATAACGAACTTATCTAAGTTGGACAGTTATTGAAAACCTGTAAGTACCAGACAACTATTTCTTCCTAGTACGGGACTTATCGGCAGTGAGGACCCACGATCCGTACAACGGGAATCGAACCCAAAACAGACCCCACACCACAATTTAACTTCTAGACAATTGAGCCGAGATTCAGTGGTGTACAAGTCTAACTTCAATTAAACTATGATATTGCTTAACTACCTTCCTTTATCTTCGATGGGTACTTTTCCTAACATCTGACACAGTTGAATTCTACAACCCCCGTACTGTAATAATGTATCTAGACACATTATTGTTGAAAATGTTGCACAAATGAATATTCATGCAATATTTTTCCGCTTGACCGTGTCTATTATTTGGAAGTACATTTAGTTTTCAAGTAAATTACTCACGTGAATAGGCAACTTTATAGATTGGTGTAGTACAAGAGTCGACATATCCACTTAGTTGAAGAACATTTGGAAGCTCATCAGTATTCGGATAAGATTTAGTTAGTTTTCTGTTTTGGATAAAAGAAAAATATAAAAATTGTACTCTTATGAATAATAACATTTTGGAGTGATTATAATGAACTGAATATCTTCAGTGAGAAACAAAATGCTTTGCTAAATTTGCGAATCTTTTCATCATCTCAATCTCTATGTAGAATGAATGTTATCGGGTAAATGTGGAGATGTAAGATTACAAATAGTGACAGTGGTTTAAATCCGACAGTAAATGACAGATAAGATTACTTCACTTAATTCTCAACGACATGAACAATTATCGAATTAGTTCATCTAGTATTATATCTGGTATCTGGACGCGTCATATTGACCTTCTAACAGACATTTTGGTCCCCGACAAATATCCCACACTCGAAACCCAAACAGAAGACAAAATGTCAAAAGAATGGACGGGAGCTTTGTTTATAAGGTCAGGTTAAGTATAGAACACAGAGATACGTATATGTTTGTGTTACCTTGGTGTTCTGGAAGCTTCCAAAAACATGCGAAATTTGATAACAAGATCGATAATTATCCAACCAGAACATAACACCTAACCCACTATTTTTCTACAAGGTCTCTAGGAAAATTCCACTCAACGCTGATTTTCAGCCTTTCCCCAGCTTCTGAAGATTTTTACGTGGAGTCCTCGAGGATTTCAACACTAATAAGGTATACTTGTCATACAGTAACTGATATGACAAAATAAGATGACATTGTGTCGGTCAAGATTTTTGTAGGAGATCTAGACAGAGTAACAGGTGAGAACTTTGTTCAGTGTAACATTCTGAGATCAATATTTTCTAAAATCAACTCAGTACAAACTTTATTCTATATGGAAAATGTGAACTCTCGTTCATTGTGACACTTTTATTCCTGGTATTGAGAGTCGAATGAACTACATTTATTGTTTGTTTTTATGGTAACTGTACCTCTTCTTACCACATGTGATGCCATAAACTGTGCTTGAAATTTGGTATATAAATAGTTGTATTGTAGGCTAAAGATGATATGATTCTGGGTATTATTTTAGGACTTGTTTGGAGACGTGGTTATAAGGAGTCAATAAATCTTCATTGTACTAGTTTTTTATGATCTCGTTTTGCGTTGTAGGAATTGTAATGGTCTCCGTTTCCCAGTGCAAGCGGCAAAATCGAGGAATTAGAATGGTTTCCGATCTTTAAGTAAAATTAGTAAGGTTAGGGACTGAACAGAGCCGATACATGCATAACAACGACAACTCATCAGATATAACAGTTCGCTACCCAGTTACAACAGTGCCAACAAACTCAATTTACCAGTCATATCAGTAGCGATTCTGGGATATAACAGTAACATTTGAAGACGAGGAGTCGCTTGGTAATACTGGCTTAATAATTTTAAGTCATAGTTTATGAAACTAACTAAGCTGAAATTATGATCATTATCTACTGATAATATTGGATTGTAGTGACTTTATGCTCCAAAGTGCCTGTAGTTAAACTTTGGATTTCAGTACAAATGGTGATTAGTATCCTGTTCTTTAGAAAATCTAGACGTTTCTGGCTCAATCACGTATTGAGTTTGTGCATGGGCTTCCAATTAATCTAAACTATAAAAATAGATGTTCATAGTTGAAATCATGAGTCAGTTGAAGCTAGACCGCCATCGATAACCTGGAAGTACAGGAAGGCCGTTTCGACCTATTATGGGTCTCCTCAGCAGTGTGCATCCACGATTCCGCACTCGCTTGATTTGAACCCAGGACCTACCAGTCTCGCGCCAGAGCACTTAACCGATAGACCACTGAGCCGGTCAGCATCCAACGGTGTTAATGTTTAACTCCAACCAATCCATGAAGTTTGAGCAACCGTTCACCAATTGTCTTTAGTGAGTTGTTATCTCACAACAGACGTGGTTGAACACCACTGGTCACTGCTTCCCACTAGAACTCCACGACATGTATCTTGAAGTCAGTCACTAGTGAGCATATGATTATAATCAAAAGGTTTTTTTGGAAATTTCAGTATTTTTCATAGTTGAAATCATGAGTCAATTAGGTTCTAATCTCGCGAGTGCGGGATCGTGGATGCGCACTGCCACTGAGGAGTCCCATAATAAGACGAAACGGCCGTCCAGTGCTTCCAGGTTTTCCATGATTGTCTAGCTTCAATTGACTCATGATTTCAACTATGAAAAATACTGAAATCTCCACAAAACCCCTTCTGAATAGATGTTCAGTTCTGACTAGTTTTTAATAGACGTGGTTTTGAACTCCACTGGTCACTTCTTCTCACTAGAGCTCCTGGATATACTTCTCGAAGTCACTGGTGAGCATATGATTATATAATTATCAGAGGAGTTTTTGTGGAGATTTAGTATATTTCATAGTTTAAAGCGTGAGTCATTTGAAGCTAGACCACCAGTGGAGTTCAAAACCACATCTGTTGTGGAATAGGAACTCACTGAAGACAATTGGTGAATGGTTGCTCAACTTCGTGGATCATTTGAAGTTAGACATTAACACCGTTGGATGCCAGCTCAGTGGTCTGTCGGTTAAGGGCTTCGGCTCGAGACTGGTAGATCCTGGGTTCGAATCTCGCGAGTGCGGGTTCGTGGATGCGCACTACCACTGAGGAGTCCCATGATAGGACGAAACGGCCGTCCAGTGTTTCCAGGTTTTCCATGGTTTTCTAGCTTCAATTGACTCATGATTTCAACTATGAAAAATACTGAAATCTCCACAAAACCCCTCTGATAGTTTTTAATAGTTTGCCAACTTGCGAAGTATTGATATTCAACAGATTTTATCCAAAATTCATCCACCACAACAATCAAGACACATGAGAAGGTGGAAATGAGTAATATCAATTTCTTTTTATACATTAATTCTTTTGTATCGAAATTCATATTAATGACTAGTAACAAAGGACTATAAAAAGGAGAAAACCTACTCAAGCTTCCCTTCATTTCCTAACTTCATAGTGTTTCTTTGTTTTGAACGTCCATAAATCAAAGGATGAAACATTTTACGCCTAAAAGAAGAAGTTTTTACTGTTAGATCTCAATAATCTTTTAATTGTTTAGTATTTCAATGAATATTTATATTGAAGTACCCACTATTTACGAAAACTGTTCAGGAGGAATTATTGTTGTATGTAGAAAAGTTCAAGTAAACAATCTTAGTTATAATTCATAAAAAGGGACAGAAGTCAAACCTAATTTGAGTCTATAATTTGCAGCTAAAATTTTCAAATATTCTGGACTTCGATGCGTAATATATGTAAGTGTAGAATTAGGTTGGAAGGAAGCTAGGAGTGACTCAATCCAAAACATGATCTCAGTCCATGATGTCAATAACTGTCAGATTCAGCACTGTAAGTAGATGCAAACTACTAGTTTGAGATGCACGTCTTTGTGAAAAATGTACAAACTGATCATTTGTATTTTTCATGGTGAGAAAGCTTTGTGTATTATTGTCATTTTTACTTTTTTTGTTGGGAAATGATAACGAAATGATATAAACAGATACTAATTATAGCTCGATGTAAGATAAATACTTCATCAGTTGAGATGGCTGGGACACGTGTTACGTATGTGCAACTATCGACTGCCAGGACGTGCAATATTTCATGGTGTAGGAGTAGGTTGGAAGTTAGCCAGACCAAAACGTGGCACGAATCCCTAAAGTCACTGACAAGTGGACTGAGGCATGTTGGTAGGTGTAGACTACCTGGTTGGGATTCGCGAGATGATAGCAACCGATGGTTAGAGACCTTGAATGACATGGCTCAAAATCGTTTGCAATGGCGGAGGTGCATCCAATCTTTGTGTTCTACAAAATTCTAATCTTCTGAATTCTTCATGTTTCTATTTTTTTTCTCTTTCCAGATTTATTTCACTGGATTATATTCCTTCAATAACATCTTCACACCTTAATCTTTCACATAATGCTTTTACTCTTACTACTTGTACCACTATGGAATTTGAATGGACAACTGCATCTCTGTGCTAATGTGGTATGGCAACTCGAACTGATGTACGTACGTACGAAGTTCTACGTTGTGACTGACTGTTGTCAGATAAAGATTTATTTCACCATTGAAATACAAAACTCTCAGTGATAAACATGATAAATCTTCTGAGCGAATGCTTGAATCGGTTTCTTAAGCTCTTCTTATAACCGCAGGCTAAATTGACATGACAATTTGAGCATGAAAAAAGGCATGTATTATGGAAAGAACTCTTTACTCCAGGGTTAGTTTATGTACAGAAAACTGAGAGTACTTATAGCATTTCAGTTGGCCTTGGGCTTCTAAAACGTTCTGAAACCCTGCCAAACAAATAGTAGGACAGGTAATCATTCAATCAGAAATGTGATACGTGACGCATCACTTCTTAGATGTTCCTGAGAAACTTCTTCCCAATGCTGATCGAATAAAAATTTTCCGGCGTTTTCAAGGCTCCTTTTGGCTTTTCTAAAGGAATTTTCTGGGTCTTCCTAACAAGCAAATACACTTAATCGTGTAGTTTTTTTTGCACTGATTTTCTACAAACAAACATCAAATCAATAATAGCGGATTTCACAAAGCAGGGGTTGTCATACTTGATTAGTACATGACCTCACTCTTGACTCATTCCTAACACCTATCTCGTTTATAAAAAGTAGGTCCTGAGTATCAATGGTCAGAAGATGTAGACGTGATATGACCATTTATATGGAAGTATGTTGGAAGAATGGTCAGGGTGGTTAAACCATTACTTGGTATCATTTGACTAAGTCATTGACTGTTGAACTGAGCTGTGTCAAAAGAAATAGACTTCCGGATTGTCTCGAAATTAATTGCAATGGGAAAATGTGTTGTTTTATCTCTCTTTAAATTGTGAGTTTTAGTGTGATTTCATACCTTTTATCCTTTAATTTGAGTTGTTCTATTTAAACCGTATGTTTAGCTAGCTAGTATTATGGGTATTGTTATTTCTACTTGATTATTTTTCATTTGGTTAGTGTGCTTATATAAAGTGTGATAATTTTGGACCAATACAAATATACACTTGGTCCAATTTTATTTCTGATTGGCCACTATAAGAAATATTACGAGCGATAATAAGACTTACATTGGTTCTTGATTTGCATAACCAGAAGATTTGATTTTATGTCCAAATGTAACTGGTTTATCTAATGATGTTTTACTCAATGTTGAAAATTGACTTTTATTTCTGTTACTGTCATTATTTTGAAAGAGTTGATGTTTATTGCAAGTATTCAACACGGAATTCGTTAACAGATCATATCTGTAAATAATGATATATATATATATATATATATATATATATATATATCTCAAGGAGGAAGAAAAATTGTTTATGGAATATGTTTTAGTAATCTAAACACAAAATGCAGTTGATATTATGGACTAGATTTTGCTAAACAGCCATTCAGTACCAACAGTTAATAGACAACTACTTCGTTCTATTGTGGGATCCATATCAGTGGGTACCAACGACCCCATTAGATATTGAATCAATATTTTCAGGCCCAGTGGCTAGAAGGTTGCGTTTAGACTACTCAATTAGTATCTAATAATCTATATTTATAATACTAGTCAACTCGTAAAATAGTGTATGATCATCATTCATGGTTATTGATGACACTTATCTCACGCTAGACGTAACTGAACTCTATTAGTTAGTGTAGTATTGTGGTGTGTGCTACTTGTGTCGACATAAGTAGTATATAAAGCCAATCGGGAATAGAATGCCAGGCAGCAGAAGGTTGAGAAGATCGAGGAGGAAGGAAAGGGAACAGAAAGTAATTGGTATGGAAATGAAGGAACAATGAGGTATGAAACAATTAATGAACATTTTGAAAATGAAGTATTGGAGTATGGTTTTTACGTTTTACCAAGTAACTCACTCAGATCAAGAGCACGTGACTAGCCTAACCAGAACGTAAGTATATTTCCACACTAAAACTGACCACAAAACCAATAATAATAATAAGGGTAGGAAAATATATAACTCATCTAATACATGTCAGACTAGCTACTAGTCTGACTAAGCAAATAACCATTATTTTTCTCGTTTACACATCAATTAATGGAGATGGATTCCCTTAAAAATGGCTTTGAAAAATTAAGTTCTCTGAGCTGGACGGTTTAGTTACGAAACCTTCAGTGTCTTTCTTGGCAACATCAGTAAGATGAAAAATTCAATGGTCAAATGACACCAAAACAGTTATGTTACTTGGCAATAAATGATAGATATGGAGAACTGTTTGAAAGATTTTCACGTCCATTTGCTGCAGAAACATTTTCCAACGGTATGGTAAAAAATCCAACAGAGTCATTCTTACCGCGAATCCAAAAGTTCACAGCATTCTTGGAAAATAAAACGGACGAAATAATTAAAGTTTATATAAATTAACGGAACGTTTTTCTACAGGATGAGTTAAAAGATGGTTCCGTGTAACTGTTAAAACAGCTTTGTTGGTAATAAGCATCGAACAAGTAACTAAGATAACACTCAAGAGTTTTTTTTACGAGAAAACTAAAGCTAGTCAGTGTTTTTGTGGGTTATACACTACATGTAGAAAACCTTTTGACCAAATATAGATGTATAATGTTGTTAACTTGGATAAAGACTTTGGTATTACACTATACAGTCGATTATTTATGAAGAGACAAATCTTACTTTATATCTAGTTCTAAAGAGTCATATGGAACGTGCTAATCGGGAAGCCTAAAGATCACATGTTTAGTGCTAAATACTGGTAAAATTAACAGCGTAAAATTCAGCAGCTATCGAATTCTTCTCCGATTAGTAATAATTTGTCAGTTCGGATAATTGATGAACGATTAATTGATTTATAATTCTTAAATTGAAGAAGGAAGAAAGCATTGCGACAACGGGAATACTAGACAGACAAATGAATGACGATTGCCGAATCCATTAAGATGAGTCTACCGTATTTTATGGAGCGAATGAAATAAATTACGATGTTAGCATTTGATCACGTACTATAAATAAAAGAAAAAGCATTTATACTGGTGTATAATAACAAGTGGTATCAACTGAAAGTTTTTCAAAAGCCTTGAGTGATAATAATAGGGATGGATATTCTCTTCTATATGCAACATGTTGTTCAAAGTTGATTTATACCAATGCCCAGTGCAAACGTAGAAAGTGATGAGGTCGATAAAAGAAGGAACTTCACTTTTTCTGGTAGTCACACCAGCCACCATAACTTGTCGGTTGCCGACAGAACCATGGCATGAATGTATGGGCTCTTTTGATAATTGGTGGCTTTGAAAACCTTATAGTACGAGGGAGATACCCATCTGTCATACAAATATCTAGTACACTGTGCCTTAATTCAGTCCTTTTCTTTACGAGTGGGAAACAAAACATATCATAGTAGGATAACTAAAGTTTAAAAATAACTAATAATGAATATTTTTGAAGCACTAATCGTGTATAAAGGAACTGGTGAGTGATGCTGAGCTTAGATGTAAGGCCTTAGGTACAAATGGTATGTCTGTTGACAAATTTGAACGTTCATTTACTGAGGTGTCTGTGACATCAATGAGGGATTCCTGGACATCAGTTACTGTGAAGATCAAGTCTATTGGAAAATTAACAGGGGAAGTCAGACCAATAAATGACATAAGCTTATAAAGTTTTTGAATAGCGATTTGAGGCTTGTGAAGCAATGCATTTTTTTGTTAGACCATAATTTATAGCCAGAGACCTTTGGTAGCCTGATTTGCAAAACGTCACCTTAGAATACATGTTTCACTTTCTATCCTTTGTTAAATGTTAAAATACACGCTTCTTCATTGATGGTTTTTTTTATTTATTTCAGATTACACTTCTCAAATTCAGTTCGTGATTGTCATCTCTCCTAATAATTTGACTCTCCTGACTCTCACGTGACTAATTTTTCCTGAATGTACTAATGAGAAGTGAGGTAGTTTAATATAATACCCATCTTTGCTAGACACTATTTTTTCGAGGACTGCATTACTAACAAATAATGGGGCTCGAGAAATAGAACTAGTGTGTAATGATAGTGCAGTATCCTACTCTCCAGATTTTTAAAATGTACAAAATATGGTTCATAGGTTTTAAATCTTATTTTTTTAACATAACTAGAGTAGACAGGCAGAAGCTGCTAGGCCATTGGATGACATGGCTTCACTTTCGAAATTAGGCACTTTTTATAACTTACTTACTGAAGTGCTAGTAATTTCTGCATTATATATGTAGTTCCAGTTAGAAAGCTTAAGATCCACCCAACTCCAGCTAGCCATAACATTATGATTGGACATATCCAGTACGTATAATCTAGCGCGTGACAGGATGATTGATATACTGGACCCGGATTCAGGAGTCCTTAAAAAAAGAAAATTATTTGGTAATTGATAAATTGGAGATACTATTAGATCAGAAAGAAATGAAGAATGAATGATCAATAATGAGTAGATCATGAAAATCGGTCCGAAACTACACAAAATACATTTTGTAATGAACATAATTTGGTTTTGGGTGATCATACGGTGGTAATTCAGAAAATTAAGCGAACGCCCACACTACATTATACTGTAATGATTAAAAAAATTTTCCGTTAACGATCAATAGGTTTACCTAAAGAAAAAATATAATGTTGAATCATATACTTGAAATGGTATTCAGATCTTCAATAGTTTATTAGTCGGAAATCCAAACTAACTATAGATCCTTATGTAACTTGAAATATATTTAGCGATCAGTGAGTCACAACCAGTTAAGTCAATACTTTGGCCGAATTTCAAGAAGCTCATGTATTCTTGCAATAATGATGTCAAACATCATGAAGCTTTAACAGTTTAGTGGACAGTTGGTCTGACTGAAATTTGAATGAACGAATATGCTATGGACATAAATATCCCGTTTATTTCTGTATATCACACGTCGGTTAACCTCGTTTGAGCGACGGGGGTAATTAGAAACCAAATAGGGATTGAGTTGAATGAGTTTATTTCATGTATTCGATTACTCAGAGAGAAGTAAAGGTGAGAAGTGGAAATGCGAAGCGACGTAAAGAAAGCAAGAATACCATCTCACTATGATATAGCGTGAACCACTATTTATAACCAGACAAAAATAAGCTAGGGGTATGTGGTGAGTGGAGTAAGTGATAGACACATAGGCTTAAATAAAAGCACTCAAGGTTATAGGCGAATGATTGATAAAATCAAAACGGGGCTGAAGAATACATTAATTAGTATTTTCGAAAGCTAAAATAACCCATGTGGCCGTGGCATAGCACTAAAAAATACAGCACTTCCAACTTGAGCTTAAAACATGGTTAATGTAATTGTGGAGAGTAGACTAAGTCATTGAGGGTTCGAACTGAGATTGTCGGTGCGAATCAGCATTATTTTCGACTACAGATACATACTAATCTGTATTTTAAAATGCTAATAACATTTGAAGTAGCTTATCTGCCTGAGTAATTAGGAATACCCAAGGTTCAGTAACCAACCGACATTATTTGCATGAGTATCACAGGAGAAAATTACACTGCTGTTGAGATGAATGGGGATGAGGGTAGGTTCAAAATAGACATTCATGAACGTATTAATTTATATGGAGTTAAGACTGAATTATTTGAAAATGTGTTATCTGTAAAAATAAGTGTTACAAAAAGCGTCAAAATGTCAAGCGTACTTCGGTACATCATTTTCGGAATGAAGAGATATCAAGTCCACTGTTGTGAATGCAACTATTTCATTTGAGAACTCCATAGATATGGATGGATTAAAGGCTGCATTTTTTGACCATGAAGGCCTTTCACTTGCTGTAACCAACAAAAAGCATAAAATTTGGCATTACTTGGGTGGATGATCTGACTAGTCTTTCGGTGGCCAACATCATTATTGACTGTTGGTTCAGGAAGTGCACACAACTGAATGCATTTGAAAGAATGAGGGCAGAAAGATAAGATCTAAGTTCTCATTCATGAATGCAAGAGTCCTACCTGGCCATCTTTTGTGCCTAGTGGAATACAACCATCGATCAAACTTGAACTAAATGCAGTAATTTTTTGAAAACTTATAGAATGTATTAATTTGCAAGCTTGTATATCCCAAATTCTACACGACAGGTCATCAATAAGTACGAAAGCATATTGTGGAACAGAGTTATGGAAACTAATGTCTTTAATATTGGTTGATTGCGATCCCATTGAAACCACAATATTTTGAGTTTCCTGGAAAGATTATTCAGAAGAACAAGAAACCTTGAGATGCCATGCTTTTAAGTACTTTTCATCACCAATAACAACGCAAGAGAAAGATGGGTCGATTCGTAGAACAGGGGGGTTTCGTAGCACATACTCAATGAACTTTCTACAGAATTGTTTAGAAGAAGATAATTTCAAAACTTACGTCCTTTGTGGATACTTTAAAGACATGTGTGAGAACTGGAGAATTTCTATTGCTTCAGCAGTTGCAAGAACAATAACTACATCAGAACAGATTACTTGGACTTTGAGAAAAATTATGGATAAAATAGATTTGTAAACAGAATGAAACTTATTAAATTATAGTAATGTCGGTGTTCAGCAAACTTACTGATGGCAAGTCACAAATAAGACTAGTGTAAACCTTATCAGGAGCCGTTGTTGACGTATAACATACGACATTTTCTAGGATATCAACAAGAAAGAGTCCACCAGTAGCAAAAAAATCTAAACACGGAGACTGAAGAACTGACATTACAATGTGATAAGTTTCAAACTGACACAGTCAGCAGTCGCTAAGACAAACAATGCAATGTTCAATATTAGTTTCACTTTGAAAAGAACAGGAGCCTTAGTGACTTGTGCTAGTTTTGGTAATGACGGTTTCTCTGCTGATCTAACTTCCTCTTGAATGCATCAATAGATGGGGATTCAATGACGTGCTGAGGTAACGAGTTCCATTCGTTGATGACTCAATGAAAAAGTCAGTAGTAAGCTGATAAGTAATTTTTTTCTGGATTTGTGAACACTTTTAGAATGTATTCGGAAATTCCCTTGTTTAGAAGGTGACAAAACGAGGGCAAGTCAGATACAGAACTATCACTAAGTAATCTAACATTTTTGAACAAGTCACCTCTGGTCCTTCTACATTTCAGTTTGGAAAGGACAGGAGGCTTGATGGCTTGTGTTAGTCCTGGCAATGATGGTCTCTGAGCTGATCCAACTTTCTTTTGAAGGAGTCGACGGATGGAGCCTCAACCACGTGCTGAGGTGATGAATTCCATTCGTTGATTATTCGATGGGAAAGTCGGTAGTCAGCTGACAAGTAATTCGTTCGAGGCTTGTGAACTTTTTTGGAGTGTCCTCGTACATTTTCTGTTTTGGAAGACAAGAAAAATGAGGGCGTATCAGGTGCATGAGAAATAGGTTTTGTTTAACCAGTCTCTCGTCAAGCGACAGATATGAGGTTTTGAGGAACGACTTGTCGCCGTTTCCCTGAATCTTTTTTAATAGCTCACATTTTTATGAAGCAGTTGGTTGCTTGTATATTATAACTGAAATTAGGTCAAGCGAGCGCTGTAAACAAAGTCAAAAAGGTTTTCGTGCCAGTGGATACTCCTCAGTTTATCTACAGGAGAAGCTTGACTAGTGATCGAAAATGTATTCATTCACATCGTCCAGAATAACAATTGGATCAAAAGGTTGTCTTTTTTAAACACACATAGTTTTCAACATTCAATGTAGATCAACAGGAATTAAAATACCTACACAAAATGAGAAAGTCAATAAATACTTCAGCTATTATGTCTCGACAGCCCCGACATGTTTAAGGGCAACTGTTTGCTGCCTGAATAAACTTGTTACATTGGTTTACCCCTAGAACTGACTTCTCTAGTGATGCGAAGTATGTTTGCATCCACTTCTATGTCTAACTTCAGTGCTTCAGATGGTATATTGTCAGATGCTACTGCTTTACCACTCTTTGTTTGTTTGATGGCCATCCTGATTTTCTCGATAGTTGATGGAGTGACATCTATAGGAAGGTCTGTGTGTGTCGCAACAATATCTGATTGATTCAATGGAGCTGATCTATTCAAGAGTTCCTCGAAGTGTTCCATCCATCTGTTCCATTGTATTAGAATCTCGGTGATTGTCTTGCATTATGTGTTTTTGACTGGTCTCTCTGGTCAGTTGTATTTCCCTATTAGTTTCTAGGTTTTGTCATATACTTACTTCATATTTCCTCCTTTTTCAGCTTTTTCCGCTGTCGTTGCTAGGTCTTCTACGTATTTCTGCTTGCCGACTACAATGCTCGTCTTCACTTGCATGTTTGCTTCGGTGCATTCAGCCTTCATCATGGAAACCACCAGGTAGTGATCCGAGATTACGTCAGATCCTCTCCTGGTTCACACGTTTCCATGGATCTTCCGAATTTTTCATTGATGCAAATATGATCGAGCTGGTTCTCTGTAGTGTGGTCCTGCGAAACCCATGTAGCTTTGTGTATGCGTTTGTGAGGGAATATTGTGCCACCTATAATCAATGTGAGACACGTGTGCATTTAACGTCATGTGTTATCCGAAACACATGCAGTTTATTCTAGCTTCCGGATAAGCCAGTCTATTCATTCTTCCTAAACCACATTTTGACCTTGTCAATTGTTGGCTTACTTATTCTGACTATTTTTAGACGAGCGTATGTCCGTGCACATCTTATCCTACTCATCACATGTATGTAGCTTATTTTTATCTGGCTAAAATATTGATTAACGCTCGAATAAGTCTAATTGGCTCATTTGCCTTCTACAATCTGCTTTACTCTTCCCTTTTTGTTCCGTCTCCCTGACTGCCTGTTCAAATCAATGAGTGCATAAAATATACATATTCAAAATCCATCCTCGTATCTGGCTTATCCAATTCCGTTATTCACTGATGCGAGTTAAGTCGATAATCGAAAACTTGAAGAGACGACATGCATATTTCAATAAAAATCAACGTACGACCAAATCGCAGTCAGATACCGGCCCATAAAACCACTTTGTTAGGTGCACATAAATTTGTAAATCTGTCACAGTTCTCATCTTTTTCTCCTAGTTGAATCTGTGTTGACTACGCTACATTTATTCATTATAATTAAAGCACATGTGTTTACTTGCAGGCATAGACAGCCATATCACAGAACGAATTATTAATCATGGATATCAAGTTTAACAGAAATACTTTACTGAAAAGTCTAAAATTCAGACTTTCTACATTTCTGAGAAAACCATTCTGCTTTTCAATAGACTACTATTTTAGCAAACGAAGAAAATTACAATTGCGATTGTACAGCTAAACTAGATGAGATTGTCGAAAACGAAATTTACTTCACTGAATTGTTTTCTATCTTCTTTGATGGTACTGTGGTGGACCAAGAATAGTGATAAAGTCATTACGACCAAAAATTATTGTATTAATATAATAAATATTGTCTATACGTACAAGAAAAATATAAGGGACGTGACTTAAATTGTCAGGAATTAGTGTGTTCAAGTTTCTCTTGGTCTTGTAATTCACAATTATAAGTAGTTAATAATTCCAATCATAGTTGTTATAGTTCAAAATTCATATCCGAATAAAGCATATAATGAGAACGTCACTGAGATCTGTAAACGTAGATAGCAAATACATTAGAGTTCTGTTATCATAATAGCAGGAAATTGAGAATAAGAAGCATATGTGTGCGGCAGTATATTTGTGAGCGATAATCAGTGTGTCATGCTATAAGGAATTCATAAAGAAAACAAAAAATCTAGGGTTGTAGTGCCGTGCGTCGTTAGTCATTTACCTCGATAACCGTTATAAAGCAAATCTTAACGGTGCATAAAATCAAAAGGTAAAGAGAAGCGGCAGCTACAGTTTTATTGAATAATGACGCAGGCGAGGAAGTTATAAGCACATGAGTAAATATCAGCGAGCGAAACAAAAATGACACACATTGGAGATTGCGGGTAAGCCAACTCAGTTTAATCAAGCGTTAATCAATATTTATAGTCAGACAAGAATAAATGACATACATGTGATAAACAGGATAGGAAAGTGTACACACACCTACGCTCATATAAAAATAGTCAGAGTTAATAAGTGAATAATTAACAAGGTGAAAACATGACTCATGATGGATAGGTGAATTGGCTTGTCCAGAAGTAAGAATAAGGCATATGAATATAACAAACGATACCACAGGATCATTAATTTTTAAACAACTATTTTACAGTCACACATAGTATTTGTAAAATCCAAATCAAGGTTTGGCTGAAGAATAATTGTCTCTGTATTTTAGAGACACAGTATCGCCCCTTTGAAACCAGGAGAAGATCATTGGGGAAATAACGGTTCTAAACAAATATTACCACTCAGTTATTCAATCAACAATTGCCCCCTCAATAAGTGTTATTCTATCCTTTTCTGGATAGATCAAGTAAAAATATGTTCAAAAGATAATAGTTTGTTGCTTATAAAACAAAGTGTTTCTGATTCTGGAAAAGTGCTTCAATTCACAATCAAAATGCATGATCCCAGTCGACCCAAGCATCAAAATCAAAGATTGAACAATCAATATGACTGCCACCAAGATTAACTATCGACTAAAACGACATAATTAAAGTTCAGGAAGAAACATAGAAACTCAGGGAAAGAGAAAGAGGAAATGAGAAAACTATTATAAAAATGAAATATTACAATCTCAAATGGCATCAAAAAGACTAACAAAACGTATAACTAAAGAAACCAATAAGAAAAAGCTGCAAATGTATGCACGGAGGTATTTTCACATACAAAACCTTCGAAATGCATCTTACATTAATTATATCAATGATGAGAATTAATGAAAGAAGTGCAAATAGCAACAAAAAACTAGTTACAAAATAAGTCAGTTCTAACTATCTCCACAATATAAGCAAAGTTGGATAGTAAGATGGTGGTTGGAGGTGGTCAACAGGAAACCCTGGACCCGGGTTTTGTGCTACTTAGCACTCGTTAGCAAGGTGTACCTGTAATTTTGAGGGAACTGAGTGCCAAGTAGCACGAAACCCGGGTGCAGGGTTCCTTGTTGACCACCTCCAACCACCATCTTACCTCAATATATATAGTGCAAGCAGTGTCGAGCCACCTAGACTAGTGGCCACATTGTAACTTGATCGACAGCATTCGGCCAGCACTAAGAAGGACTTGACACACATGACACTGATCACCACCCAGTGATCAATCAATTGTGAAAGATGGATAGTGGCTAGTAGTGGAATTTGGGACGCACGTTTCGTCGTCCTATTTGGGATTAGTCAACTGGATGTACCTACATCTCAGAGTTGATGTTCATTCTTGAACTCGAACCCAGTACCGTTCGCTTCAAACGCCATTACGTTATCCACTTAGCTTATGAGTCCTGATAGCCACCTGCTTGTACAATGGGGCGAAGTTTACATTCGCTTGATGTTGTTTACTTGTATATTCCCATTGTTATTTAGAACTGTAATTGATCATTCTCTTGTTGGCTGATATGCATCCTATGCGAACTGCCCCGATATTACCTAAAGTCACAAGCTTTACAAGCAAAGATGAAAATACAATACAATAGATATATTTCGTTACTAATTATTTAGTCAAATGATTTATGAATAATAATTAATACTAAATATTTATTTAATCACTGACCGTGAGTACATTCATGAATTGATAATTACCTCATTCTTACTTAGATATTATTTGCATCAATACATTAGTTATAAGAAAAAGTAACCACATACTCACTGCTTTGTTCTTTCCTTAGGAAAATCCAATTATAAATTTTTCCAAGCTTTTATTCAATCTAATTTTCAACCATGAATGAACCAGTGAACATATATATATATATATATATATACATTCCCTTGACTCAAGCTATTGACCTTATCAAAAAATAATCAAAATCTATTGACTTGTGACTGATGAGAATTGACGACAAATAGGCAAATGAACAAATGTAAAAAACTATCCTCTTATTGTGTGTGTGTATGTGTGTGGGTACGTTTACCTACTTCGAGAGTTCAAATAACTGGCCAAGAAAATTAGATCATAGCTTTATTAATTTATGCATATATATATGATTAACATAAAACTTGGAGTAAATTCATATTATCAAAATGAGGTTTGGTGGAGATTTTAGTAATTTGATAGTTGTGTAGTGACCTGGTTTTTTTCAATAAGAACGCGATTGATATAATAGAAACAATTATTATTATAACCAATTGTATCAGTGATTGTTTCACTGTACTTGTTTAACTGTATCAAAGTCACTGTTCGTTCGGTCGTCCGTCTTGTTTGATTCGAACTTTCTTACGCTCTGCCTTTATTACCTGTACTCGTTGGTACGTCTCGGTATTCATTCGATATCACGAGATTGCCAATAAATATACTCTATCTGGACCAGTTTCAGTCTTCTAGTTTGCGAGTTATCAAAGTGACCAAGTCGTTTCTGGGCACGTAATCTCATTGTAGTGGTGATCATAGTCCATCAAGACTCGACGCCATCTACATTTGAATTCATGAGTCAATTTATAGCAACCATCCTACAATCAATTTCGATTATAGCCAATTTTGGTTAAGCCTTTTTTTATAACTTACTTAACAGACATTGTCATTTGGATAGTAACAATCTGCATATTCTTTGCACAGACGTAATCAGTATCGATCGAGTGAAGCCAGCTTTTATCGATAGCGATTTTCAATCGACAAGCACAAGCCTCTCGAAGACAATCACACCGACGAAACACGAATCTCAGGAGTCAACGACGCTAACGCACCGAAACGAAGAGACTCCGATAACGACAAGGTCTGGTCGCAGAGTAAGATGGCCGCAACGTTATGTCGCTACAATCTTTTACTGATAATTTTCTGCTACTTCGAATATTAATTATAATTCATCCTATTCATTGTATACATATGTATTATTAAGTTCATGTTATACGCTATTAAATTCGGCACAGCTCATGTACACCCTTACGCTTATACTTGTAATTTTTTTTGAAGCGATACCATATTCCTTCTATATCTTACCGCTATTTTGTATAGCCTAACGGACGGGCAGGAACTAAATGCACATTAACTTCATTCTAATTTTGTACAAGCCCATATCTACGATTGATTGTAACTACGCTATCCAATTTACTGTACTTTAGGCAAACACAGACATTTTTTCATATATCTTTGTTTGCAGGGGGGAGTAATATAGCAACCATCCTACAATCACTTTCGTTTATAGCCAATTTCGGTTAAGCCCTTTTTTATAACTTACTTAACAGACATTGTCATTTGGATAGTAACAATTTGCATATTCTTTGCACTGCTATACCACTAGAGCACATGACACTAGCCGAAACGTTGACTGCTTAAATATCATTCGATGACTCATACTCCTCCCCATATATGTACGCACACAAATATTATTATCAGCCTTTGTTTTGCTTTGCTGTGCCCTTATTAAATTTGACTATAAATTGCCTATGTAATTGCTTGATATTTGCTCGCTTGCTCCCCGTTCGTTTCCTTCACTTGTTCGCCTGTTCATTCGCTCGTTCATATTCGCTCAGGTGTTGTTAGCTTTCGAACCTGAGTCATTCGACAATAAACTGTAGTTGCTGCTATCCTTTGTCTTCTGATTTTACGCACCGTTAAGTTTAGAATTATAACGGTTATCGAAGTAAACGATTAACGAATCGCGGCACTACAAATTGAAATAGCTGTCCATTGCTTCTAAGTTTTCCATGGTGGTCTAACTTGAATTGACTTATGAATTCAAATATAAATTCATATTATCTAAAATTTCGATGATTTCATAAACTCAATAAAAATGGTAACCAAACTATTCATGGCAAACGCATACTTGTGTACAGTTGTGGTTTATTCATCTTCTCATTCTTTGAAAGAAAATTCATGATCTTGAAACAACTGGTTGAAATGAGGAAAGAGAATATTGTAGTCGTTACTCGTGTTCGATTATTTCATTTTTTGTTACAAGAAAATAGATAAAGTTCACAAACAAGAACTAATGTGTAAGCAAAGATGGATAGTGGCTAGCAGTGAAATCCAGGACGCGCGTTTCGTCCTAACTAACGTGCATTCTGATCTACGCATTGAATGATGTGACCATGAAATCCAAACCAGAAATATGAGTTCACTCACTTTCATTATAAGCCGTGCTGACGAATAGCAGCTGACAGGGAACACTCAACCGAATTGTAATATTTTGGAGAAGTACAGATACTTGCTTTGTATTGAGGTCAGTTTGATCGAATGGTTTATTATTAGAACAGTTGTACTGCCAAGTTGAATTATTGACTTCACATATAGTGACTAGTCAACTGATTATTCCGTGCTCAAAAAATTATTTGTGCAAATGAACGTGAGTATATTATGTACTTGTAGCTAGACGACAGGACATTCTGAGTTCAATTTATTTGTACTGGCCTGTGTTTGATAGCACGAAGTGTTGAACCGAATCGATAATATCCCTTCTCTTAAACTATGTGGATAAAATTTCTTCATATCTTTCATTCTTCCTGTACTACATCCTTATATACAATCTTTCTTTTATATGTTAACACCATTAAATTAAGTACTTCCATGAATTCGATATTCATCTTGTTATGTTAATCAGATATGGCAACTTGGACCGATGTATATATATGCCTGGTCCTACGTTGTAGCTGACTGACTTCCCTAACGATTACCTTACTGACGAGTGTCAGCTAACCTATTAGTGTAATCGCAGGATTTCTAGCAATTATTTACAACTACCTAATATCTAAGTGTATTGTACACTTAGTTTATCCGATTTCTCCTAGTTCATGAGGAACTGTTCAATAATAACCGCTTAGCATCGATTGTTGTTCACCACTGAATGACCAATAATTAATGTATTACGTCATGACATATTATCATAAACTTTTCATTATGGATAAGTTATTATAATTTTTTTTATATATATTCGTTTTTATTCACTGCAAAACAGTGAAGTCACACCTCAAGGTTAGTACTCAACTTGGATTTTCTTTCTTTGTATCCAAGTGCTATGGCTGCAATGATTACCGGCTTCTGGCGCATGATCTGTCTCGTGACCGTCGTCAAGGCTTGTCATTCTGCGTCAACTATATAAATCTGTGGCATAAAACAGTTGCCGCTTTCTGGATCTCATTGATCCTGACGTCCGCTGTTGGGTTATGTAATTGAGAACTCGTTTGCTTAAACCTCTCCTATATCCTATAAGCTATTTTTGTTATATTGTTTATATCACCATAGGTATGTCTAACGGCTGGGATCCGTTGTTCACACAGCGGGAGCCGGTGGATCCACAGTTGATAAAATAGGTTGTTGTCTACTTTCCTGTCGCCTAGCAGACTTTTCATACAGTTTTCTTTTTAGCTATGAACGAGTTCCGATTTGTACTTGATTAAGAAGCTGATCAAAAGCTTGTTGGTAGGCTAAAGAGACAGATTTAATTACGACTTGTTTAAATACGTCATATGGCCTCTCATGGTTCATTTTAGCTGAAGCCTCTCGTACGCTACCTGCCACTTTGTGTGAAAGGAGAGTGTTTGAATGACCAAATTTGTCTTGTTACAAATTAATACGGTTAGCCAAAAAATACTTTTCAAGTCTGATAAACCAAAGTTATGGGTTAGTGACGTTAGAAGACGGAATAGAAAGATTAAGGGTCTTTTTAAGGCATGTTTTTAAAAGCGGTGAATAGTACAGGAATAAAAATGTAGATGTCAGAAAGAGAAATGAACCGGCAACAATAATGATAATAACAGATGATATAATGTTATAACATAAAACAGACTTCCTAATATGATATTAGTAATTCACACCTATAATTATAATTTAAATAATACTCCGAATTGAGATAAAGTACGTTGAATGTTTCAATGACAGATCGTATCATCGAAAATCGCGCACGTTAGGCTAACCATTTCTGTAGTGGCTTGCCCTCAGGATAATTCCTTAGGCTTCGTTTATCAATAACCTTGATAACCTGTAATAAATAAATCTCAATGATAGATAAATTCAGAATGCATCACGAAGAGCCAGCTTCTTCTTATTATTGAATAGCACCGATAGAAAAGTTACAAATACACCAAGAAAATTTGAACAGAAAGACTAATATGCATGAGTAAGCTAGTACAGAGACAGATATAGAGTCAAATATAGAACCAAATCAAAACGAAGCAATGAATTAGATTCAAGCACACATATATATACATATGGGATAGCGAATAATTCATCGAGTGATATTTAAGCGATTAACATTTAAACTAGAGAGAGATGTGTACGTAGGCTATTACATGTAATCAAGCTTGCATATTCATACTACTACTACTACTACTACTACTACTACTACTACTACTACTACTACTACTACTACTACTACTACTACCACTACTACTACTACTACTACTACTACTACTACTACTACTACTACTACTACTACTACTACTACTACTACTACTACTACTACTACTACTACTACTACTACTACTACTACTACTACTACTACTACTACTACTACTACTACCAGTAATGGCCATAATAATGATAATAATAATAATAGTACAAAGAAATAAACAAATTATCCATGTTCGAATAACAATGTTTGTTCAGTAATATAATTAAAAAGGCTCAACAAAATTAAACATAAACAAACTTAACTGTAACTTACTTACGCCTGTTACCCCTTGTGGAAGAGCATAGGTAAGGTGTTTTTGAAAGCCTTTTTAGGGAAAACGGTCAAATACATGTTGATTAGCTTAATCTAATAATCATTATTTTTTGTTATTATTCAAGAGTTAAGTTTTACTTCCATATAGGAAAAAGAAAACATTCTGATATTGATTTGTTTACTTCACCAAATTTGTTTATGTACAAGTTTATTAGATCAGAAGGGGTTTTTGTAGATATTTCAGTATTTTCATAGTTGAAATCATGAGTCATTTGAAGTTAGACCACCATGGAAAACCTGGAAGCGCTGGACGGTCGTTTCATCTTAGTGTGGGGCTCTTCAGCAGTGTACATCCACGATGCCTTCTCGCGAGATTCGAACCCAGGACCTAACGGTCTCGCGTCTAAACACTTGACCGATAGACCACTGAGCCAACTTCCAATGGTGTTAATGTCTAGCTTCAATCAATCCACGATGTTTGAGCAACCGTTCATCAATTGTCTTCAGTTAGTTGATATCTCTACAATAGACTTGGTTGAACTCCACTGGTCACTGATTCCCACTAGAAATAATCAATTATATTTGTAGTGAACAACAACATTACGTGGGGGACAATCGAATGTATTGTCTCAATCTTGACTGTTCCTCCTGCAAATATCAGTCCATCGTCTCCGACTACTATTGTTCATAGATTTTCATACCAATTGAGTTTCGTTTCTGTTCTTTCATTAACGATCTTCTATTGAAATACATTCCATGACTGACTGTCGTCATATACTACTTATGTGGATATAAGTAATACACACCACAATATCAATTAATAATAAACTATTGAATTCTGATTTATGGTGTATCATGCTGTCAATATGAAGCTTTTACATCTACAGTAGGCGATAAATAATAATCAGATGAGTTCAATTCTTGGTGAAAATGTTTACCTAACAACATTATCCGGAACTCATACAAAAGACTACAGTGCAAAAGTTGTGCATTAAGGACAGCCGATAGATGCATTTTCAGTAGGGACCGGAGTCAGACAAGGCTGTCTACTCTCCCCATTCCTCTTTCTTCTGGTAATTGAATAGATTGTGAAGACTTCGATATTTGAAGGGAGATACGGAATACAATGGACATCTCAGAATCAGTTAGTCGATTTGGACTTCTCAGATGACCTAGCTCTCCTATCTCATACACGCGAACAAATACAGATGAAGACAATTAATGTAGCAGCAGCCTCTGCATCGATAGGCCTCAACATACACAAAGGAAAAAGCAAGATTCTTAAATACAACACGGAGAACATCAACCCAATCATACTTGATGGAGAAACTCTGGAAGAAGTGGAATCTTTCACGTACCTGTACAGCATCATCGATGAACAAGGAGGATATGATGCAGACGTAAAGCAGGGGATTGGCAAAGCAAGGGCAGCATTCCTACAATTGAAGAACATATGGAACTTAAAACAACTGTCGGATAGTGAGTACTGGTGGGCGGCCTATGTTCCACGAAGAGGAGTAACAGACGTAAGTAAGTAAGTAAATAAGTAATTGGATATTTTATACATATTTCAGATATATGTGACAGAATAAAGTGAATATTATCATTCTTAATAACACTAGTGATAATCTTAATGAAAATCTTTTTCTTGACATCTAGTGTTGTAGTGAATGAGAACACGAGTGAGAACAACCAAATGTATTTGAACACAAAATTATAGAACCATACAGTAAATAATTCATTTGCAAAATGTTGATTAATTGTTTCAGATTACATTAATTCCTTGAAAAAGCTTGAACCAGATTGCCAGGCGAAACGTTGGATTTACCACAAATTCATTCACTGAGATTTTACAAATATTTATTATTCCTATTTAATGTCTTACATCAACTCGGCGCTCAAATACTGTGAAACTATTCGCTCTAATTTAAACGAGAGTTCTTATATGTTTCAGAATACATTGTTCCTTCGTTTCCCCACCAATCGCTTTTTGTTCTCATTCATTATCTTTTCTTCGATTTTCTTAACATTCTGCTGCAAGACATTTCACTTGCGATTGATAATACATACTACTTATGTCTGACGGCAATGGTAGCATACACCACAGTGTCATCCTGTAAATTATGAAGTCAACAAACATGGAAATGAGTGAATTTCATTCTGATAATAATGACTAATAATCACATTACAGTGCAAACCAATAGGGCGTAATATTGAGGGACATTGCATACTGATATAGGGTTGCAAACGGTGTCAGAAAAACTTTAAGTCCTATGGTTTAATTTTTTAAAATAATGTCGATGTTCATTGCGGAGAGTTCTTAAGCAAGGCTTTCTGATTTTCACAGATTCACTGTTTAGTAATGCTTTGATTTCCCATTTATTTCCATGCTTGTATTTTTCAGAACATTACGCCGTTTAACGAATCTGTTAACGGTCTTGTATTTACACTTACCAAAAATGAGGATTGAAGTCAGTCTCTTTATTTAGAGTTATTGATGGTGAAAAAACACACGACAATACTAAGATATATATTACCACCTAATATACAGTAATAATGAATAAAGTGTACAGCGTAAATATTTCAGTTTGTTTAGTTTCAGTGAAATCGATTACGTGAGTCATGTGAAACACGTTTCAAGTACGGCGTGTGAGATCGTGGATGTGCAATTCTGAAGAGTCACATACTAGGATGAAACGGCCGTCCAGTGCTTCCAGGTTTTCCATGGTGGTCTATCTTAAATCGACTCATGAATTCAATTATGAAACACGTTTCATTGATTATGGTTAAGGGAAAAGAGGAGTTTCTCAAATTTAGTTTGAACAATTACCACACTGAATGAAAAATTTGATTTATACTGAACGAGAATGTTACTGAGCTAAAACGAGACTTCATGTTCTTATCTATTCTGATTATTATTGTTTAAAGAATGCTGTTATATTGTTTCAAACAATAAACAATGATGGTGGGTGAGACTACAATGGATGACTTTTGAGGGACATCAAAGTGATCTTGAGTAATTTAACCTGCCTACTAGGGTCTAAAGAGTGTTGTATACTAGTTTGATAATTCAGGATCGTAAGTTAGCGTTAGAAATTAGGTTTACGAATTACAGTTGGGCCTTTCGTAACAAACTAACATTATCTATAATGCTGAAATGCTATTTAGTCATATGGATGAATGAATTTTGAACCAAACTCTGAGACTCGTTGTCTTAAATATGATTGGTTCGTCCATAAATTGTAGTCTCGCCGAAGGTTGTTTTCTGTCATAGCAGGTTACTGTATGAACTTGTAGATGGATATTATTCTTTGTTCTCAGATCCTTATCACAGATGTTCATCGAGAGATGGAATAGTTGTGACGTAAAATGTTAGGAGTGTTTTTATGTTCACAGTTTTTTACAGTATTTTTCTTAAATGGGAATGTGTAGTTTATAGAATTAAGTTCAATATGTGAATTGACACAAGATGTTTATCTACCATTCATCTATATTCTTAAGTAATTTTTAAAGATTCTTGTTACTATGGTAGTTTCTATTAAGGAAATGTGTCTGACACATGAATGTCACTTCCCTAAAGGATAGAAAAAAATGGAATAGACATCAACAATTTTTATTATTCCAACTTTCATTTTGTGGCATATGACTTCAAGAATGATTATAACCTTTCTACTGATGCAGTTAAGTTTAGTGTGAGATTAAGATGCATTATTAATCAATTTAGACGAATTTGAAAGTTTAAAATACATTGGAATATGTCCGAAGAGTTGTATGAGGGAATGTTATGTCACGATAACAATAGTGAATGGTAACTTTGAGAACTATCTATGGACCAATATGATGCGTATATTTCCTATTGTATAATTGTTAAGTAACTAAACTATTCATATTCGTGTTCTTCGTATCATAAGCTTTATTTTGACCTATAAACTATAATTATACGATTTACCGTTGATGAATCACACCCAGTCTATTGATTACTGTTCCCCCTATTCACAGCCACATTTGGCTAAATCTTGTACAAATGTTGTTTCCTATTTTATGGTACGATGTGGTCTGTCTGTTGGATATATAAACTCAGTATGTTTGGAATACATTGATTCATACCGTAGAGGCTGTTTTGAACTTAAGTGGCTGGGCTAGGCAGAAGCAGGACCGACAAGCGCTGTAGACTGCACGTACGGCTTTCGTGTGTCACTGTTCCAATCGATAATTCGCTGCTCTCTGATTGACGGTCTTATCACGTCATGCATTAACAAGGGCATCCACTCGGCCACAAGTTATACTAGGGAATAGCACAGAAGTTTTAATAGTTTACAATTGCTAATGTTTGTTAATTACCTGAAATAATTTCTATTTGTTTATAATACTGAAAGGATAAATCCAACCTCAATATTGGATTATAAATAATTTATAAAGATACTCAAAGTATTTTGCTTGTCTATAACAGATTTTAATTTAAAAAAATTAATCAGTCAGTCACAACGTAGAACTTCGTACGTACACAAAGCAGTTAAAGTTGCGATACCTCATTAGCACAGAGATGCAGTTGTCGATTCAAATCCCATAGTGGTAGAAGTAGTAAGAGTATAAGCAGTAATCCGAAAGATTAGGGTTCGAAGATGTTATTGAAGGAGTATAATCCAGTGAAATAAATTTGAAAAGAGAAAAAGGATAGAGACTTTAAGAATTCATATAATTTGGGAGAACATAAATAGTGGATGCACCTTCGACATTCCAAACGATTTTGAGCCATGTCATTCAAGGTCTCTAACCATCGATGCTATCATCTTGCGAATCCCAACCAGGTAGTCTACACCTACCAACATGGCTCAGTCCAATTGTTAGTGACCTCATGGATTTGTGCCACGCTTTGGTCTGACCGCCCCTAGCTTTCTTCCAACC